CATATATGAACAAGGACTTGGTACCACAGAACATAAATACAGTTTTAAAAATACACAAGGCATTTTTATTTATTTTCCTTAAGGAACACTTTCAGCCAACACTTCATCAGGATGAAAACATTGGCAAGATTTTTGAAATGATTAATTCACACAATGAAGAAAAAAATAATAGAGATCAAAGGAGTGAAATTTTGGACTAAAAAATAAAATAAATTTATTGTAAAATGATTTTCATTTTACAATAAATTTATTTTAATCATCATTCCAAAATTTCTCTCCTCAACTCTCCATTATTTTCTTCTTTTCTTCACTGTGTGAATTATTCATTTCTTTGTTCTCATCAAAAGTCTTGCCAATGTTTTCATCCTGATGAAGTGTTGGCTGAAAGCATTCCTTAAGAAAAATAAATAAAAATGCCTCTGTATATTTTTAAAACTATATATACATTATACATATCTATCTATCTATCTATCTATCTATCTATCTATATATATATATATATATATATATATATATATATATATATATATACATAATTTGGATGCACTTGCTAAACATTAACTGCAGCAAAGTGTTTTCTTGCAACAAATAGTGAATTGTATGAATTCAGAGAAAAAAGTGAGCTTCAAATATGATTATATAGTTATTTTATACCACAGAAACTTGCTATATCATGTAGCAGTACCAATTTTGTACGGATTACAGTAGCAAACAAAAATCAGGCACAATTCACCTCTATGTTATGCTGCTATTCAATGTCATTTATCTTTGTTCTTCAGGTTTTTGCATTAACTCTCACACAGATTATCTGTGTTTATGGTTCAAATCATGCTGAGAGCCCTGGTTCTTGTCCTAACAGCAAAATTAAGTAGCATCAATCATGGGCAGTGCTGGAAAGAATGAGTATTGTAAACAATAGATGAGTAAACTCCAACCAAAAAATCCACCTTTGGAAATCCAGGAGTTAACATAAGATAGCATTGCATACAATCAAAGACTGTTTCACATCACATCTTACAGCTATTTGGAGCAGGAACATTATTTTTCAATGGCAAGGAGATACCATCTCTGAATATGAGATACTGTAATCTTTAGTAAAAGATATGATCATTAAGTGTACCAAATAACCTTTTTAAGTCAATAGTTGTTATCTATTCTCTTATCATCCTTTTCCTCATGTCATGTTCAAATTCCAATCAGTTTTGTTATATTTTGCATGCACAAATACCTTTGGGAAAGGTGTGAATCCATCTCCCCACAGATATGGGTTAAATAGTAGGATTTGTATTTGGGAAAATTGCTGTTATTCTCAGCAGAATTGTTAATGCTATATTCACTCACAAAAAAGAAAGAATCCCAACTCCTGCTCATAATCATCACTTTCTAGAACCTTCTTTCATTCATATCTCATACATCTCATTCATTATTATTATCACTTTAACAGCTATTCTCTACCTTGAATGGTTCTCGAGGCTTGTATTGGATGAATTTGACTAAGCAAAATACAACTGAAAAATGCTATGATTATTGAATCTAATGTTTGCATAAGGAGGACGATGAGATGGCATTTTTTTCTGTTGAATCTAATTTCAAAATCAAAGTTGAAAGTACTGACAATAAAATGTTGTGGTAACACGCATGAGATAAGAGCTTAGAAATGTTTGAGTGAAAATGTAGTGTGGGTGAGTTTGGAGTAAAAGCAATAAACATGGAAATGAGAAATAGAATTTCTATAGTCAAATTGGCGTAGGCATTGTTACTTACATCAAGTTTCCTTACATTAATTACTTCTGATATTTTCATGACCATTAAGGGGTAAGTACAATTGCTCATGTGGTACAGATGTTAATAAATTGATTTAACTCTTTCCAGATCAAATTATTTTTAATTTTATTTTTTTTTTTTTTTTTTTTTTTTTAACCTGTAACCCATACAGATCATAACACCAAGTGTACTGTAGTTGCAGTAGCAGTGGTGTTTCTTGGGCAAGATAGTCTGATAGATCCCAACCCTCTCCAGGCTGGTTTTGAATACAGTTTTTCCTTCACTTAGACCAGATATAAGAATATAGGACCCAATCTGCCCAGTTATTTACTGATAGCTGGAGAGAGAAGAGATGGATTCATACCCATGGGTATTAGTATGTAAATAGCAGGTGAATGTAATGAACTTGACTGGAATTCAAACTCAGCCCTCTGATTCCTCAATCTGAGCTGCTATCCATTACTCCTCTAACTACCACAATGATGAGGAAACTGACTGCAGTGATAGTGAGGCCTGTAAGGTTTGCTATGAAGTGTGCATTTTAGGAACTGTATACACAAGTTAACCTTAATTAGTCAGGTAGAATTATGTTCAGGCTATGGAAGAGGCATTTTTAAGTCACGAATAAATGGTTTTAGGTGTTTCCATGGAAACTGAATGAAATTAAAAAAAATAAAAGCCCAAATGTCTTGTAAACATGACTGTCAACAGCCTGTTCATGTCTCTTTCATTTTGGCTTTTGCCATTCTTGTTGAAATTAGTTATCATTGGAATTAAATTCATCTATTTCCAACTCCTTAAACACATTATCAGAGTCAAGAATGACATCCAAAGTTTCATAGTAATACATAAAGCTATGCCTGGTTATCAGGATATAGAAATTAAATCATCAGTCAATGAAAAATTAAAAAATAAACTGCTAATTCCAAGCTGTAAAAGCTTCCATCAAGCTGATGCTGTAATGTAGATTCCTCTATGGTCAATTTGTATAATTGGTGGTATGTACGGAAAGGGTTAGCCAAAGTTGACAAATTTTTTTTTTATGTACCTTTTTTTTTTTTTTTTTTTGTCATATTTCAATGTTTTCTTGTCTCCATTCAAATGTGTAATACAAATATATAATTTTTATTGATCAAAACAGTTGTCACATTTATCCACTGTGCCAGGTATCCTTAGATCCAGTGACAGGACCCAAATAGTTGTGAGTTCAATACCTGGTTAAGGCAGTGGAGAACTCAGAGAGGTGAATTAACAGGAGATAACCTGATAACTGACATCCATTAAACATGGCACGTGGAACTAGAACAGGCTACCTCAGCAAGCAAAATAAAGGGTTCAGTTTGACATTCCAACCACCTGAAGAAGGCCGGAGCATACAACAGCTGAAATGTTCTGAGGACAATAGTCCGAATAATGTAAATCCAAAATATATTGTAAACTTAACTGTATCAGCAATATATTCATGTCTCTTGCACTTTGGCAATTGGCAGTATTGTCAAAGTCTTCAAGACAAAAATATCTCTGATGAAATGAGAAATGGTCTATCTTATTGACTAGGAAAAAAAATCCCAGCATATATCTGTATATTTTGTCTCTAAATTTGGGTAGGGGAGAATTTTTGCAGTCATTTCTATGCCTATTGTAACCAACACCAACACATCATTGGAATTTAATCTATTTCCAATGCTTCAAACTCATCAGTCAAGAATGGCCTTCAAATCTCCCAAAACACTCATAAATCTATGCTTAGTTGTCATGGTATCAGAATTTGATCATCAATTAAAAAATCATAACATAAATCGCTAATTTTGAAGTACGCTATTGCTACTTATAAGCTGTTATCTTGTTCCAACCGATTAAATAGTGTATGCTTTTTTATGGCTGGTTGCTATTATTAAATTTGATTGTAAATTAATGCTTGTGTTTGTCTGGCTGGATCTGAATGTTAAGTATAGAACGAGTTAACTTGAAAATTAGGCTTATTGAATACTAGCAGTAGAGCCCGGCGTTGCCCGGGGATGTAACAGTAAGAGATAGATCAAGTATCGACTATCATAAAGACTGAAAAATAAAATTGACAAAGATTATTGTTTAAGGTTGACGGACATGCATGTCTTAACTAGTTTTTTGGGGGATTTTTTTATGAATTGGTCAAACTCAAACAAAAACATTGTTTTCAATCGTTATGAGTCTACTGATTGAATAGAATTTTATTATAAACAATTGTCTTGTAAATGGAATTTTTAAAGCATTCTGAATGTAAAAATAAAGAAAAAAGTGTGCAAGATAATAAGAAACATTACCTGCCAAAAAAAAGTGAAGTTTTGTTGAAATCGGTTTAAAAATGTAGGAAATCCGATACCATATATAAATGAACACACACACAGACACACACACAAACAACCTGGGTTTTATAAGTATAACTCGATATGAGTTGTCCCCCTTTCATTCTGCCGACAAAATCGTGTTTTTTCGTGTTTTCAAATTGATTTCGTGCAAAAACAATTGTGTTTTTCCCATTTTTGGTGCTGTCAGAACCACCTCAAGCTAATTTTACATAGTCCTGTGAAGTTTTGTTGAAATTGGTTGAAAAATGTAGGAAATCCGATCCAATATATAAACGTACAGACACACACACACACACACACACACACACACGCACACACAACCTGCGTTTTATAATAAGTAAGATTTTGTCTCCAGATGAATCTTTCATATTGGCCACTACAGTCAACACATTCATGTACTTGTAAAACCAGTAATACTTTCTTTATTTTGAATCAATTCATCCCAAGCAATCTATCACGGCAATAATACCCCTAAGATGCAAGGAGGTTACTGGAAGTGAAAGTAAAAAAGATATATTTTTACCCATGCCAAATAGAGCGACCCAAATACTTTAAACTGTTTCAAATTAGTTCAAAGGAAAAAAAATCTGAAATAAATTAAATCTCATTTCTTATACCTTTTATTTTTATTTTTTTTTTCAGTTCTTTTCAGGAACCCCAAGAGTAAAGGACCCATGAAGGCTCCTTTAGTATTGGGGCCCCTAGGCCGCAGCCCATACTAGCCCATATGTAAATCTGGCACTGGGTAAACTGCTACTACTTTTCAATTTTTACTGTTAATACTACAATGACTATTACAGTTCATATGGTAGACAGAGATATTTTTTCTGAACTACAAAAGTACCAGAATCATCTAAAATCTGGGATATCCTAGACTTGCCTTGATAACTTTAAAACACCAGTTCTCATACAATCACTGAAGCTAAGCAACGTCAAGCCTGGTCAGTACCTAGATGGGTAACCACTTGGGAATACCTGGTACTTTAAATCTAGATGTACAGATGGTGTAATGGATAACAGCTGGGAATTGTTAATTGGAGAGTTCCAATTCAAGTTGAGTTCATTATATTCATTTATGCACAAATAGCTTTGGAAATTCACCTCTTCTTCCCCCATCTATGAGTTAATTAGTAACACTTGTATCACTAAAACTATTATTATCTTAAAAAAAATGAAATTGCATACAAAATATTTAGATCTCATCATTAAATAGCTCATAGAGGTTGATATGCCCTTAAACAAAGCGGCCTGCTACAAATCGATTTTGAGGATCAAATCCACAGTCCATGGTTAGAGGAAAAATTCATTAACCATCACTGACTCCTTGAATTGTGCAGACATATGAATAATTATGATTTACAATTATTTAAATGTTATATTCTATTATATGGCTAAATGAAATGGTTGTATTGTTCCTGGAAAACAAAGAATAATTAATTGAAATATAAAACTTATAAATATCGTAAATATCAGGGAAGATCACAAGTGAATGTTGAATATGCAAGATGACAATGAAGTTCAGTTTTAATAACAACAAAAGATGTCATTTAAATACAATAGCAAAATAACTTTGACTGCATGTGCAAATTAACCCCAACTTGTGATCAGATTATCTTTTGTTTACTTTTCAATGATGGCTTCTGGTTTCAAAATATCAGCTCTTGCTGAATTTGAAGTTTGCTCTGACGAATGCAAAAGATATTAAAAAATCTATGTAATCTTGCTTGAGGTTTTATCAACTCATTTGTGATCTGGAATACAAAAAGCAAATTAGTTGAGCAATAAATTGAAAATTTGGGACCTGACCAAATACTTCCAATCAAAAAGTCATTAAAACAATTTTATTTTCTTATCTGAGATTTTCTGGAACTTGTTTTTAGATTAAAGAAGGTGCGTGATCCCAAGTGTGTGAGTCCGCAATGATTTGTTCACTTGCTAAAAATGAGACATTAAATAGTAATGCAGTTGAATGACAATGTAAAAAAAAAAATCTGTTTCATCCTCTTGAAGGACTTCATTAGATATATTGTTCATTATACAGTGGCAGTTTGGTTTAGTTTGTTTTATGGCATATCAGCCTCATTGGGTTATTTAATGCTGAAAAGATTTTTATTACTTGCTGGTAATATTTTAAAAAAATGTATTACTGCTAACACACACACACACACACACACACACACACACACACACATATATATATATATATATATATATATATTTATTTATTTTTTTTTTTTTTCAATAATATATTGCTGATAATAATTTTTCCTTTCAAAAATATATTGCTGTTAATATTTTTTACAAAAATGTATTGCTGATATTAAAACCTACTTTTACACTTTTATAGGTTTTTTTTTGTTGTTATTTTTGGTGTGTCTGGGCACAAAGTCTAGCCAATTTCATTCAGTTTCCTTTTTTTGTATTTTTTTTTATCACTATCACCCCATGCAAGGGAGGAAAGCCACTAAGACACAAGGGGTTACAGGGTGTGGAAGAATTAAGAACAGAAACATTAAGCTTGAGTAGGAAGAGGAAAAAGTAATCAGGAGGTCAGTAGATAGCGATTGATATTGGATTTAAATTTTTTTAGAGTAAAGTTGGTTGGAATAAATGGAGCTGAAATTGAGTTCCACCAGCAAGAAGTACAAAAAAAGAAACTGTTAATATAGTTATATCTATCTAGCTCAACGGTAAATTCATGAGATCTCAATGCCAGTCTAGTACTGTGCTTAAATTCAAACAGTCTAGCTACCTTAGTGTTGTAGCATACCTACAGATGATAATGGGTATGTCCCTATTCACATAAATACAGTAGTAAATATTGTATATTGGTCAGCAGTTGGAGATTCATTGTGGAATTCACTTGACTCCCTTTTAGCAGTTGACTACTACTTCTATGTGCCACTGGCAAATCTTATATGACTTGTTCTTGTCCTAAGTATTATTGTTCTTTACCAACCTTCATGTGATTATTCTATTCAGTATCCTTCCTCAGGTTTCAACACTTAGCAAAGAACTCATCTGAACAATTTGTTTTTATCACTTTTATTATTAAGTAATACTACATTGTGATAATACATCGGTGTTGAGAGTCTTACAATATTTTATCTTTCTTGGCTGAGCTTCTGTTATCATAATGATGATAATAATAATGATAATTTCAAAACAGATTTGAAATGTACAAGTTTGAAATCAGTTGAAGAAATTGAATTCAACATTTCCTGAATGTGGAGGAATTTGACATCTATAATGAATAGCAATACAAGAAGACAGAAAATACACTTATGTGTCTGCAGTAAACTGTAAAGGAAGAAAAAGATTATAATGCTTTAATGTTAGGAATTGGGAGCATGTGAGTTATAATAGTAGGCCGCCTGGGATATAGAGGGAAAAAATGTAGAGTGAAAGAGAGAAAGGGTTTTATTGTCTTGTCATTTTATAGTCTTGAATTCTGCCACCAAGCGGACTTCTTAGCAGACAAGGTGAGGGTAATATTCAGAGGAGTCTTACAGTTTAAGTAATCATTCAAAGGATATAATATATATATATATATATATATATATATATATAATATTCAGAGGAGTCTTACATTTTAAGTTTTAATGCAATTTCCTGTAAAGATGTTTTTTATGTCATTTAAGATTTTAGAAATTTATGTAAGAAATAAAATATGAGTAGGTACCGAAAAGTTATTGGCCTGACCAAAAATTGATTCCAAAAATATTTCTGATTTTTTGTCATTTGTTGAGAACTTTTCAGCATATCTTGTAAAAATGAACATCTGAGAATTGTATATACATCAGCTTTACAGTCTCTTTTTTTTTTTTTTTTATCCACTCAGTGCATTTTGAGGATAATCCAGTGGTTTTATGTTGTTTTTTCCTTCGAAACATTTGTATCTGAATATCCCATGAATGACAATTGTGCTTCAAACATTATGGAAATTCAAAAGTAGATTTGAAATCCTTTATCAAAATTGTTTCTTAAGCATTACACTATAAACCAGTGTTTCTCAACACCAAGAAAAATGTTTAAAATGGGCCTGGACATGCACATTGAAAAGAGATGAGACTTACACCTGAAACTGAACCAAAGCTTGGAAGTTCAACTTGACAAGCTGACAGATAAACACCAGGACAAGTGTAGTCAGGATTTATATTTTCTATTACGTTTTTGCTTTTGTAAATAAAATCTACTTCCTTTTACATGGAATTTCTATTTAAGTTTATGTGGGCCTGAAATCTTTTTGACGCCAAAAAATGGGTCACAAGGAAGAAAAGGTTGAGAAAGCCTGCTCTAAAAAAATTTAAGCTTCATTAAATTGTCAAATGAGGTTGGATATCATATCTACTGAGTAAGAACAAATATTTTAAGAAAAACATAAAACAATCATGAAGAATACACACCTTAACATGGAGGCAGGTAATATATATATTAAATTGGTTCATGACACCCTGGCATTCATAGAATTATAAAGGGTCATATACAAAGGTGTGCTTTTGCTTATCTTATCATTATTACCTGTTAAAATTAGTATTTAAATACTAATTTTAACAGGTAATAATGCAGATTTATTTTCTTTATCAAAAATGAAAATTCAGTTTCCATCATTCATAAATTAGGGTTAACTTTTCTAAGTATGTTGTTTCCTTGGACCTTGGAATACCTTCTTGATATCCTCAGTTCTCAATTTGGTATCTATGATGCTAATGACACAACTATTTACTCCTGTCTTAGTGGTAAGTCTTATCAATTTGATAAGTTCAAGTAAGCAACTGATCTCAAAAAAGACCTATAATCTGTTGTTAACTGGGAAAAGTAGTGGCTTGTTAAATTGTAATGCCTCTAAAATAAAACTTTTAATCTTCTTAGAGAACTTTTTTTTTGGCCCTTCTATCAGCATGGCTGATGCTAACCTCCAGGAGAGTGACTTCTTACACCTTCTCAAGCTAATGTTTTCTGCTGATATGAAGTCAAAAGATTATATTAAATGAATGGCTAAGTCTGCTACTAGGAAAGTTGGTTCACTGTGTTCTGTTAGACAGTTTTTTCTTGCCAGAATCTATCTTACATATTTATAATTCATCTATACATTGAATATTACTGCCACACCTATTCTGGTGCTTCTGCTATGTAACTAGAGATTCTTGATAAAATCCAAAGAAGATTCTGTAATGTTATTGGCCCTGACCTGGCATCTCGGCTTCAGTCACTTTCCCACTGCCATAATGTAGCTTCCTTGTGCCTTTCATGGTAATTGTTTTGATTAGTTTTTCTCTTTGTCACTTAGACTATATAGATTTAAACGCAGTACTAGATTGATGGCAAGGTCTCATCATCTTACAGTTGAAATGGCGAAATATGACCATATCTCATGAAATATGACCATATCTCATGAAATATGACCATATCTCATATGCAGTTTCTTCTCTTGCACTTCTCACTTATGGAACTCTCTTTTGACTACTTGCTTTCCATTTAATTTTGATATTCAAAATTTTAAATGCAATGTCAATCGTTATCTTCTGTCTTTTTACTTCCTGTTCTTTAATTGTTCTCTTCCCTTAATAATGTTTTTCTTTCTTTTCTTATTCTTTCACACTCAGTAACCTCTTGTATCTTAGTTGCTTTATTGCCTTGCTTGGGGGTTAAATGATTAAAAAAAATATCTATTTAAAATAAAAAGTATGTAATCCACTTACTGTATAAATGATCTAAATCACTAGTGTAAATAGAATTCAGTAATTTAATTTTTTATTTTTTTATTTAATGTCTATTATATTTTTTGCACATATAGATTGAAAAATTGTTACCAAAACAAAAACTAACTTAAAAAGTTGGTAGATTGATTCAAGAACTTGTGGAGATTCCATATCCTGAAGGGACACAGCACATAAAAGAAGAAAGCAACAATGTCCAAAGGTGAGAAGGAAAAAACTTTGGTTTGATAGACCATATTAGGAGGTAGAAGAATACGCATTC